CCGTAGCTCAGCAGTTAGGGGGCTGGTCACATGCACTGAGTTATGACTTAATAGAAAAAAAAAGAGAGAGTGCATGGTGAAGAAGGTGTGTATGGTGGGGCCATAAACACCTGCCCTCTGGCCCTACCCCCTTTGTGTGCCCACAGGGAGGTCCTCATGTCACTCTGCTTAGGATGGGGCCTTCTCTATCATTTGTGGTGTTTTTCAATGGTATCCCTACAAAAGCAACATTCTTTTCTGCACTTTGCCCAGGGGTTCTCACAGCTGCAGATGGGGTGGATGGGAATTGGGTGAATAAGACACAATATGTCCCGAAGAGGCCCAAGTCTTGTCCCAGAAGGGCTCCAGGGATGGGTCGAAACAAGAGTGCAGGAAAGGTCAGAATGGACAGACAGGCGCAGGCCTGCAATCTAAGGGGCAAGGCTCACTGGAGCCAAACTCCTCAGCGTGAGGTCTGGGGAACAGCTGGCACTTTGGGGGCCCTATCTCAGACCTGCTAACCTAGAAACTTGGGGTGCATCCCCCTCAGGGATGCTCAAGTTCGAGAAGCACCATCCTAGAGACATCAAGGTCTCCAGCAGGGCAGTGGTGAAGATGGGCTAATATTTTGGCAGGAAATCTACAGAAGTGTAGGCGGCATATAGAACAGGAGGCAGGGAGAGGCTAGAAAGAAGCCAATTCCTACCAGAAAGGAGAAAAGCAGGAGGGGTGAGACGACAGTTCCATTTGAACAGAAGACTGGGCACTTGGGGTAAGGCTTGAGAAAAGACATTAAGTTGGGCTTTGGATACATGGAGACCACATATCCCTTCAACATAGGTCTACTCTCTTGGTCAACTCCTCAATTCTTATTTTGAGAATCACTGCTCTAGGATCATTTTATAACATTTATAACTTTTAGTTAAATAATTCTTTAGTTTTAAGCTTTTGGTGGTACAGAATCTTCAGGACTTTGAGAAACAAGGAGGCAAAATAGCCAAATCAAAGTGAAAGAAGTTAATTACATCCCCAATAAAGCCATCAACTTGACAATGCAACCTGAGGACAAGATACTTATTATTCTAATTAGAATAATTAGCAAAAGTTTGAAAATGAAACCTTCTAAGGAGACTTGCCAAAAGGAGCTGCTAATTTGTGGCA